CCACTCACCGACGACGCCCGGGCTGCCCAGTCGCAGCCCGGGCGTCGTCGGTGAGTGGATCGCTGCGCTCCTCCGGGCCTGCTGGGCGAGCTGACGGGGACGCTTCCAGAAGCCAGCCCTTTGACCGACGTCGACGTACGCCAACCATGTTCCATGTTCCACGCCTCTACCGTGCTGACCCCTCAAAAGTAAGTCGTGTCCAATGTGAACAATCGGATCAGTTAGCCTGCACATTGCCGAGTCTGTCGGTACCAAGTTTGTGGCGGTCGGGCCCATAGTACCGCCCCCAACACATGGACCTCCTCACGGACCATGCCGGCCGCCACAGCACACTCTCCATTAGACTGCTCTAAACCATAAACACTACCACTGGCATTTGATTCTCATTTACCTTGCAAGTAGTGTCCACTATCACCAATGTAGGGTACTTCCATGTGGTTTTCTTCTTTGAAGATGTGCGCGAGAGAAGGAATTCCACCAGGCCGTTGTCATTTTGAACCAAGTGAATTGTAGATGTTGAGTCTCTGTCGGATAGTTGTTGCAAAGTATCAGGTAGCTATTCTTCCTCATTTAAGCCTCCCGTCTCCTCACTGTTCATCAAGGCTCTAAAACACAAAATTAGATTACAAGAGCATTATGTACAGCTCGCTAAAAGCATACCACATGGTAGAAGCCTCGGATTAGAGATGTCTCAAGCCGTAAGCTTTTTAGAGCTTTCATCTGCAAGCAGCATTTGAATGTGGGTGGGTTTCACCTTCAATTCCATATTGATAGTGGGCTAGAGAGTGGGCCTGAGCTGAAGAGAAACGCTTTGCTCTGGCTCTCTTCTTAGGGTATGGGGTTTGACTGAGTTTACTTCACAACATTTGATTCATAACAGACAATAAAAGGTTTATTCATACGATGGCTCGCACTTACAGTTTTCCTTCTCCTTGTTCCAGCATCCTTCATGGGTCTGCTTGCAGTCGATTCTCGTTGGGAATGGCCCAGAGCCCAGCCAATATTGAAAATGGGATGGACAGTGGACCTGAGCCTGAGCGATATAAGAAAAGTAAGTGAATTGGTACATCTTTATGACCTCAAAATCAGAACTAGTAGAAATTTTAAAGGAGCTTAACATGTAAAGATTAGTTTAATGCTCAGTGATTTAAACACAAATATTGAATTCGAAGACTTGATGAAAATAAATAGTGCCATTCTAAGCAAAATTGTGACCGTTCTTTACATGAAATTGTACTCACCGTGTAAAACGATCCAAGCATTGTAGTCTGACGATGGAAGTTTGCCCTCAGTACAGAGGGATCATCCTCATCATCAATCTCCAAAGGAAAAATAAACATCCACATCAATTCAATTTGTGCTTTAAAATATGAAATCCTATTCCTATCCCATCCTATAAGAACAACAGACTCTTGCCTTTCTTCTTTTGATGGGAATCATCTAAGAAGAATAGAAATACAGATTAAATATACAGTATACAATAAAACACATCTATGACTTCAATTATCTTAGTTTAGCATGAATCAAGAGTTAAAATGGAGATAAAAGTGGAACAGAAGAAATTTTAGACATCCATTTAATCATGCCTTAAAGAGAAACGTCAAAAAAAGTTTGGCACAAAGGTAGTAAATCAAAATGAGGTTATGTAGATAAGTTTGTCGATGAGACTTATCACGTTTGCGTTCTTCCGCGTCTACGCATAGATAGAGATGTCTCTGACACTATATTGACAAATCTATAATTTGCAATGACGAACCAGAACAAAAATAAAATAACAACAGTAGTTTCTTACCTCCGCGAAGTCAGAAACAACCACAATCCTACCGAAACAGCAGGTGTTGCCGTGTTGCCCGTAGTAGTCTCGTTGCAGGGTACTGTATGCGTCCACTTATATTGACGAGAGCAGGGGGCAGGCAGGGGGTATCGCCGCTCAGGCGCTAAGGGTAGGCCACTATCTGCACACACACACTTGGCGGGAAGGCCTACCCGATGTGCTGCAGGCGTTGTCATTCGGAATCGTTCGTACTGAGGTGAGCGATGGCGATTGCCTACCTCTCAGGCGGATTAGTCCGGGTAAAATAGGCGTCACTCGCGGGCCTGTGCCACCGCTTGAGGTGCTTCCACACAAATGTTTCGTGCTAGGCGATAAATTAGACATTCCCCCAAGAAACCTGAGCTGCTAGTTTGGGCTATCCGACAGCACGACCTTCCCCAAATAGCCCATTTCCCCCATAACACCAGCAAATTATTTACAACTGGAAATTTTACTCCCTATCAATTAACATTTTATTTCCGACCGCGAAAATTTATAATAAACGTACTTCTACTTACAAATAACACAAACGACTCCAGGGACTGGTGAAACATCCCCACTTCCCTGCATCCTCCGTCCTTTAGTAAATTTGTGATGAAATGCAAAGGGTGTAAATGAGAAAATTGTACTTCTTGTAAGAAGTTTATTGATGGTACTTATCCAATGGTATTTTACACCACGCACAAATACATCACAGCAGTTACTTGCTCACAGCCTCTGCCCAAAAGGTAACAATAAGTAAGCATTAATTTCAATAATAACACAGCCAAGCCCCGTGCTCCTCAGCGATCTGTCACCTGCTTAAGAACTTTACACCCTTTCGTTCAGGAATAATATCTGCCTGGTGTCCATCCCACCAGATTTTTTTTTAACAATGGCATCAATATTATACACAATTTTTTTGGTTTACTTGCACATAGGAAATATACTCAACATTCTAGTCTCCTTGATAGTTTTTCTGACCAAGTAATCAAGACATTATAACGAAGGGATTAAGATTAATATCACAGCACAAGAAACAGCCGGGGCTTGCTCCAACCTTCCGCACTATAAGCCCATTTAGCTGAATGAACAAGAATAGGCCGATGACTCAAAGTTATAGACCCTGGCATTATGAAGTGAAAGTGCAACACCCAGGTCATTCATTTCAGATTCAACTTGATCCTTTTATCACCTGTACTTAACATGAAGTCAAAATGGTTTAAAAACATTATTTTGTCCAATAAAAACAGGCGATTCAATTAGTAATAACAATAACAGTATAGAAACAAAATCACAGATTCCATTGTATAATAAATAAATTAAAAGCACACATCCACTGATTCTGCCTCAGGACAAATATTAAGTTAATTTGGTAAAGTTTTGACTATTGTAATCAATCTAAGAAAGCAATTTGAGTCATAAAATACTGTCCATGCAAAGCAGAATTGAGTGGATTACAACCTACATTGGTATAGTATACCCTACCAAAATATTTTTCTTTTTCTTACAAAAGAAGGCACAATTCATTAACAAGTAAAAGAAAACGTGCTTCCAAACGAAACAGCCAACCTTCAATGACTGTCTGAATAAAAAGAATATCCGGCAAGAATTGTGTCTATAATATTTACGTAGCAAGTAGTTGGCAAGTACTACCGAAGCTTTAAACTAAAGCAAAAATTGAAAATTCCTTCTTAAGAAATTGCAAATTTACGGTCTACTGAAAAAAAAAAACGGGGGAAAAAAAGGCATAAACGGAGAGACGTGCTATGGGGCAGGTGGGCAGTTTGGAGTGTTGCTAAGCAGACGCAAAGACGAAACACCAGCCCCTTATCTCTGGTGCGCACGACGGTGTCGGTGCACCTCCCGAACACAGTCGAACGTCGAACCCCATCCCCCCCC